AAAACCTGTTACCTGCAAACTCACTTTGCCAGGCACAGGGATTTCATCATTGAACAAGGTAGACCCATTCCTTCCTTCAGACACTTATGGACAAATAGGGAGGAAGATATTCTATAATCGTGAATCAGTTATGGATGAAATTTAGTCTGGGAGGGTGTTAAGGGACCTCGAAGATTGTATCTTGTTCCCAGATATTAAATAAATTCTTTCCTCACTAATAATAATAATGATAATGGCGATGACCATGATTATTATGATAGTAATTATACACATTTATTGAGTGTTTATTTTGGCCAAATATTACTATATACACTTTATAATGTATTATCTTTCTTAATTCATGCAATACCCTAGGAGGAGACAGATAGTATCACATCACTCCTTTTTTTTTTTTAACAAGTGAGGCAACGAAAGCTTAGAGAGGGTAGGTAACTTGACTAATATCACACAGATAATAAGTATAAAGCTAGAATTTAAACTCAGGTCTGTCTGACCCCAGAGCCACTCTTCCCAACTGGTGTACCACCTAACCGGAGGCTGCAGAAACCAGATGTGACGGTGTGTAGTACTGAGAAGGTGGGAAGAGAGATGTAGAAGAAAGTGGGCAAGCTCAGTCTTACAGAAGGTGTAGACAGATTTCTTACCATAAGGGAGCAAGGAGAATAAAGAACAGTTTCTTCTCAGACTGCTAGAGCAGAAGGGCAGCAGCATGGGACTGGAGGCTTGGGTGAGTTGCCACATGGATCAAAACCTCTATCTCTGATATTTCATAGGGGTTAATCTCTAACCATAAGGTGGAAATGACTGGTCTCCAATTCCCCCAGTAAGACCAAGCATGACTTGGCCTTATCGTCTGTCCCTCAGCTACCTTATACATTAGAAATTTTAATTATAATGAAATGCCATCACTGTATAATAGCAAAGCTATCCAATAGGAGTTTGAGAGCCTGAGTTTGAATTCCAGGTCTATAGCTGCAACTGTAGGCAAGATTTAAACTCAGGCCCCATACCCCTTGTACCTTCCCATAGCTCCCCTGTGCTCAGCAGTCCCATGGCACAGAAGTAAAAACTTAGACTTTGGAGTTCTATAGTCTGGGGTGGAAGGGAGCCCAGCTCCATCACTTTATAAATTTGTGACTTTGGAAAACTTACTAATTTTTTTGAACTTTATTCATCTAAAAAGTAGGGATGATATTATCCACCTCAAGGATTATTGTGAAGGTTTAACAGATACACATTTAAGTATTTATCATAGTGTCTGGTATGTAGCAATTATGCAATGAATTGTTGCAGTTATTGACATTGTTATTATTGTTTTGTTATTTATTAGGGGTTTAAAAATTCTATTTCTGTGGCTCAAGTGGTTTCCCATCAGGTTAGCCTGGTCATCTTATTCTTGTGCCCACATTACTCGGTTTTTGTCAGGTTCCTGACAGCCAAACTCCATTGACTGGGTCTCTGCTTTCCTCCTCTGTGGCTCAGTCACACAACATCTCTGAGCCTTAGTTCTCATATCTGTAAAACGGGTATGATAGCTTCTACTTTGTCTACCTCCTAGGAATATTGCGATGTTCAAAACCCAGTGGTGTGATTAATGTGAATATGTCACATAAGCTATAACGTGGTGTGAAAATGGGAGGAATTGCTGTTACTATTGTTATAAACTCCCGTGAGGTGTGATATGGTCCACTTTGAAAGACAACCAACACCTTCACTGTTTCTCAAACAGGGAACTAGTGGACCGTTTATAAATTCTCAAAGCTCTGCTAGTTCTCAACAAGAAGTTTTAAATGTTGTGCTTTTTTTATTTCAGTGAAACTCTAATCATCAACATCAATAATCTGGTCATTTGTCCCATGATTTGAGTATTCATGTTTGCAGTTCCAGTGACACCAAAGCATTGAACTGTTAGCTTAGTATTTCCCAAACTGGCTCTGCAGATTCATTGTTGGGGCCCACAGGCCCTCTCTTTTGAGAAACACTAGTTTGGTATAAGGGTTGCTGCTGATGCATCCTGAATATAAGAAGTATAACTCTGAAGGTCTCTGGCTGGTAGATGTCCGCTTTCACTATAATCTCAGAGCAGGGAGTGAACGTAGAGTCAGTGCTGGGGTTTGAAGGAGGACTGACAGCCAGACCAGATAGCTTGATCCTCCAGTGGGCTCTAGGACCCAGAGGCTTGTTTAAGAAATAATGGCATAGCTTTCCAAGTTCTGCATGGTTCAAGTTCACTTTATGGACCTACCCATGCTATGGAACTGTAAATACATCTATCCTATCATACATAAAATATGAATACACATATAAACATACATATGTATGTGCATATATACATACTCACAATTTATAATGTATAGATAGATAGATTCAGTATATGAAGTAAGAATTCCCCGCCCATGTAGGACACTTCCAATTTTTCAAAGCATGGTGGCATTCGACAGCATAGTTAGTTGTCCCAATGACACTATGAGCATGTGGAGCAGGAACTATTATTCCCAACTGATAGATGAGGAAACAAAGAGCCTGAAAGTTACCCGACACTGCAAAGCTGGCTAAGGGGTGGTGTGTGGACAAACGGCAGTGGTTTTTTGTTTTCGTTTTTTTTTTTGTTTATTTGTTTGTTTTCTTACTCCCTGTCCATAAAGCTCTCCTCTCTGACCAACCCCATCCCGGTCCCATCTCCTTCCCGTCTCTCTTCCTTCAGGCAGAGCTTCAGAGCCGCTTATTTCAATTGCTCCAAAGTGATCTGTTAGAAGAATGCCGTTGGCTACTTTGAAGCTAGTGCGTTCTGACGGGAACAGAAAGAAATGCAAAATAAAAGTGAAGCTGCTTCTTTTGTTAAACCTTTCAAAAGCTTCTTTGGTTTCTAACTCTATAATTACACCCTAATCACAAATACTTCGAAGGAGGAGGTCAGTTCCATGCAGCAGCAGGCTAATTATGTGGCGGAATTTCTAAAAATTATCATCTTATGAATTGTGTGATTCCTCTGAAGGGGGAAGAAAAACATATACTACATGCTCGACTATGTTTCAAACTGAATTAATTAGTAATTTGAAGCCTAATTATCAACTAATCTATTGGAACATGCAAGTCTCTTGTATTTAGATGGTATATGCAATTTGCATCCTATTAGCTGGCAGTTGTAAGAATTTGAGAGCTCATTAGGTCAGAAGAAGAATGCAGATCAGAAGGATACAGAAACCCAAGGTGCTGACTTGGTGATGCTGTGACCGAGAGGTCACTGGGCAATGGATGGAGGCTGGTGATGTAATTACCTGGGACCTTTAGGTGGCTCTGAGGCGGCCAATGTGTAATTATGCATGCCATGACCCTTGTTCTCTGTGCTCTCAAGCAGCAGGGTGCCCACACTGTCTGCACTAAGATGTCCTGGAAGAGGCATTGGATGCTGCCTGCTCACTGTGGTGCTAGGCCTAGCACTATCGTGGACTTGCGCTGTGACCCTAGCCAAGTCACATCATGTTGCTGGTTCTGTTTTCCTACAAGCAAAGGAGACTTAGATGGAGTTGACTTCCCAAGACCCTTCTAGCACTAAGGATCTAGGTGGGCTTTGAGAGATGTCAAGGATTTTCTTCATTACAAAGTCAGAAATTCCATCCTTGTAATTGTTTTTTTAGGGGTAGACTCTTGGTTTCCTAAAAGCCTCTGAACAGCCATTCCCCCACCCCATTTAAAGTGCAAATACCTCTGAGAATAATACATATTTAGTCATTAATAGCCAGGTCTAAATTAACCTATCTCAGTAAGCCTTTTTGATTTCCAGGCTTGAGCCTGAAGTATTGGGACAGCTAAGGCAAGGATTGATCGAAGGGGAAAGAAGGTTTAGGCAGGGATCTGTCTAAAGATGGAGAACAGGGCAGAAAGAAACACAGACCTTAAGGTTTAGGCAGGATGTTTCGGTCCTATTTTTAGATCCTGTTATTTTGATTTTTCCATATTACATACACCCAGAACCTATGCCTTTGTTATACTAATGACTTTTACTCCAAAAATAAGTTGAAAATCTCAATCTTTTGTTCAATTAATAATTAATATTACTCATAGTAGTAATCAACACAAAATGACATGGTTAAAACTGAACATGATATAATTTGTTATAGATAAAAAGCTAAAAGTCACATCTTAATGGAAGCACAGAAATTTGTAAGCCAGGATAAAAAGCAAGCTTTGTAGAAAAATTTCCATTAAGTGAGTCTGAAAATTGCTCACACTTTGACATGACAAAACTTATTTATAAAATATTTTAATAAATATAAAAATCTAGTATTAATTCGATGAGAGATACAGCTGCTTTGGAAAACAATTTTGGAATTCCTCAACATATTAAACATAGAGTTACCATATAATCCAGCAATTCCACTCCTAGGTGTATACTCAATAGAAAAACTTGTACACAAACATTTATAGCAGTGTTATTCATAATAGTCCAAAAGTGAAGACAATTCAAATGTCTATCAACCAATGAATGGATAAACCAAATGTGGTACATCCATATAATGGACTATTAGTTTGGAAATAAAAGGAATGGAATACTGGTACATGTTACAGCATGGATGAACCTTGACAACCTTATGCTAAATGAAAGAAGCCAGTTACAAAGGCCGACATATTGTATGATTCCATTTACATGCAATGTTCAGAACAGGTAAGTGATTGAGATAGAAAGCAGATTAGTGGTGCTTGGAGCACGGTGGGAGTGATAGCTAATGGGTATTAGGTTTCTTTTTTTGGATTGTGTTGACGGTTTCACAATTCTGTGGTCAAGTGCACGGCATATAAATTACATAGCAATAAAGCTCTTTAAAATATGGGACCAAATATGGAAAAGGTAAACTTGGTACTGCCAGGACTCGGTATTGTAGCTTTGAATTGCCCCTTTCACCCATGCAATTCCCATCAGCCAGGGACCACCGAAGAAAGCTAGGGCCCCAAACACAGAAAGACCCATAAACTGAGAGCCTGCCGTGTGCTCTACTCACCAGATTTGCAAGAATGTAGTGGTAGCCGATGCCATTCTTCTCCAGCTTTATAATCTGCAAAACACATGAGAGGGGAGTCCTTAATCACATAAGCAGTTAAAGCCACAACAGCAATAATGATAGGAACTAACACTGATTGAGTCCTTACAATGTGCCTTGCCCTATCCTAAGTACTCCAACTACAATATCACAATCATCCAACCATGGTGGCATTGTTGAGATCCTCATTTTACACATGAGAAATGGAGGCATGAGAGGTTAAATAGGTTCCCTAAGGTTACGCGGCCATTAAGTGGCCGATGCAGGATTTGAAATAAGTTCTGTCTGATTTTAGGGGTGGGGCAGTGTTATCATAATGCCAAGGACATGGCTGAAATGCTCACTTCTCTCCTCTCATAAAGTCTTCCCCAACGTGTGGAGATTCTTCCCTGGTGGGACTCTTATTCTGCGTTGAATTCCTTGCCACTGTCATGGTAATATCTTCTGCTTGGAGGGACAGATGAGTGGATGAGTGGACGGATAGTCAACTGGGTAAATGGACGATTCCACCCGAGTTCTTGATCTTTAACTCCTTGCATAAACCATATTCAGATGCAGTTATTTCCCTGAATTTTGTGCTTTCTTCCCTAAACCAGTTAGATATTCAGTCATTAATGGTCCACTCAACCCAGATTGAAGGGAATGTCAGAATCACCTGGTCCAACCCCTCACTGCACAGATGATTTTCCCAGATTCCTCATCAGTCTCTTTGCAAGGTCAGGACAGCGTCAGAGTCTTGTGAGCCTTTCTATATGATTGCCCTGATGACAGTTAATCATTAAAAACCAGGGTCTCCAAACATCCCTCCATCCTGAAAGTGCGGACTATCCCAAATTATTGTGGGGAGGAAAAATCTGGAACTACTCACAGGTTTGCTTGGGTAGGCAGACATATCACCTGAGGAACAGCTAAGACCTTAGGCCTTGTTTTAGCCCTAGATCTGCCTGCAAGTTAACTTCGTCTTTGTCTTTATTATTATTTTTTTAATCATCAAATTGGGGTTAGTACATCCCAATTAGTGCCTCTTCCCCTGCACTGTTGCAATGAGGCATAAAACATATGAGAGGTACTTGGGCTTCTTCTCTAACTGAATAAATTTTCAAGGTTATTAAAATCCACATTCAGACATCTACTTAATTGGATATATGTGCATAGCGACTCGTATATTTTTTTAATGTAGGGAATAATTAAATGCAAGTGCACACAATGAATGCCCCCAAACAGTGGTTAGATTGTGAAATTCCAGACCATGGAGCTCAAATGCTATTGGGATGATAGTTTTATTAATAACTCTTCATTACTTTTTCATCTTCTTGTCAAACGGTTTGCTGCCCTTTCAACAATGAGATACCTTTATCAAAAGCCTATTTGGATTCTAATAAACACAAAATGGCAAATAAAAGATATTTCAAAACCCACCACATTCAGGGAGTGAATAACTATAGTCTCTGCAAAATGAAATTACAGGTCAAAACATAGGAAACTGATGATAATTGATTATTTGTGACCAATAAAAGTTAGCAAATTCATATGGTTTATCCTAATACCAACCTTCCCACCCTTTTACTCCCTTCCCTACTCATTGGCATATCCTCCCTTCTCTCCTGCCTACCTTTCACAAACATTTATGAAGTGCTTACTATGTACAAGCACTGTGTTGGGGATTTAGTGTAAAGTGAAACAAGTATGGTACTTGTCCTCCTGGAGGTCACAGTTTACTATGAAGAGACCCAGACTAAACAGATAAAGAGAGAAATACACACAGAGTTACAGAATGAGAGAGTCATCATAAAGGCAATGCACAATTTTGCTTGGGGCCCATTGCCTCACTGACCCCATTCCTTCAAAGCTCATTTCTGCTGGATAGCCTTAATTCACATCTTTGTGTCAGGAATGTAGTTTTTCTTCTCTCTGATTATTCATAAGCTTTATGGCTGAGCTCTAATTCCAACTACTCTGTAAAGCCTTCTATGATTAATTAATCCAATCAACAAATATTTATTGAACATGGGTATATGCCAAGCACTATGCTATGAATGAGTGAGGCAAGATCCCTATGTTCTCACTGAGCTGAGCTGACATTTTAGTAGGGAGCCAGATGGTAAACATATAAATAGGTAAATGAACAAAAGATTTCATCAGGTGAGAAGCGCTCTGAAAACAATAAAACAGGGTAATGTGATGGATGGCTTGGTCCAGGTCTTTTTCATCTCTAACTCATTCTGAACTTAATGACTGTACTATATAATTTGGTGTTTTATATATTGATAAAGCATTATATTCTGATACCCCTGTTCCCTGATCATAAACCTTCACTCCCTTTACACTATTTATACAATAAACCCTAAACTCTTTAGAATGGTTTCTAAGGACAGTCACAATCATGTGTCCATCTTCCTGTCATTGTCTCCCAGTTAAGACACTCAGCATCCTCCACTGGGATGCTAAGCCATCTGTGAATCTCTGCCCTAACATGCCCACTAGGCTTCCCTCTATACTCTTTTCTCTTGCTTAAAATCTCCTATTCAGCCAATGGCAATCTGTACATATCCAGACCCTTCTCACATTCGGGTTGTTTCTTGGAGTCTTCATTGATTCCCTATTCTTTCCATTCACTCAGAAAACATTTATGGAATGCCTACTAGTGCTTCACACTGTTCAAATCACTGTAGATACAGCAGGGAAAAAACAAAACAAAACAAAATTCCTCCTCTCATGGAGCTTATATTCTAGTTGGGGTCCTGGAGACGGAGACAGGCAATTGACTCTTGATTTGGAATGTGAATCACTGCTTCCCTCCTTAAGTAGAGCACTGTATGAGACTGAAAAGATCCCAATTGCCAAGTATTGGAGAGTTTAGAATGATGCCAAGATGTCAGACTGCAAGTCAGTAGATGTGAATTCTGGACTCATCATTGTCACTAACTAGTTGTCTGAACCCATGGCCAACCATTGACCCGGTCTGACCATCATTTATCACGCCTGTAAAATGTGAGTGCAGGTGGTAAATCAAGTTATCTGTAAGATCCTTTCAACTCTTTGGTCTTATGTTCCAGAATAGAAGAATCCAACAATTTAGAAAGTTAATATACTACAATTTAAAATACCCACACAAACAGTCAATTCCTTACAAAATACAAGTTTGTCCTTTGGCAGAGGTGGAGGGAAGGCTGAAAAGTTGCATTTTTAAGAGGCTGGGCCCTGTAGCCAGACCAAGCTGCATTTGACTTCCTATTTTTCTTACCTGCTTGTTGCGAGTGTTTGGGCAAGTATAACCCCTTGTTTCTTCACTTACGAAATAAGGGAATTGATAAGAGCTGTTTCATAGAGTTGATATGAGGATGAAGTGGGATTATGTGTAGAAAGGGCTTGGCATAGCGTCTGGTATATGGCAAGCACTCAGAAAATAGTAGTAATGGCCTGCTATCTCTACTAAAGAACAATATAGGACAAGTCATCAGTCTATTAAGAATCCCTAATTATTATTCAGCACTTTCTCCACCTCCATCTCATCTAACGTTTTATTAGCTTTTTAGAACAGGGGCCTTTATTACTATTTTACAGATGAGGACACTGGAGGGAGTGACTCAAGAAGCCAGTACTAGTTAGCACTATGAATAGCAAAAATAGGCTAATGCTTACATATATTGCTTTCTGTTGGGCAAGCTCTGTTCTAACTGCTTTACATGTATAGATTCTTTTAATGTTCACAGGAGCACTCTGAAAGAAGCTGCTATTATTATTATTACTATTATTATTATTATTATCATTACTACTACTACTACTATTACTACTACCCATTTTACAGATCAGGAACCTGAGATGTACAAAGATTAAAACCTCGGCCCCAGGATGCAGAGCTAGTAAATCCTAGAGCTGGGGTTTGAATCCCAGCCTCTCTGACTTCTGGGTCTCTGCTCTTAACCATTACCCTGTACTGCCTCACTTCAGCAGAATTCAGACCCCCTGACTCCAGTCCAGACAACTCCCTTCTCAAAGGAAACTGTTTTTGCTGGTTTATCTTTCTGAGAGGGGAGGGCAGATCCACACATTGCAAAGTGGAACACAGAGTTAATGCCTTAGAGAATCCCTGACTTTCAAAATCTCTCCTGTTCTGCTGCTGAGACCACTAAGTGATTGCTGAGCTGGGTATTAAGATCCCCTTTGGAGGCCACAGGGGTCTGCAGGGCCATTAACAAGCTTTGTCATATTGTCAAGTACCTACAACTACCATCTTTAGTTAGATAGCACTGTTCAAAAATGGTAGCAAAAATCTACTTCCTTGCTAGCTCGTCCACATACACATGTGTAATTTAAAAAGATGAGTGATCCACAGAAAGGCCTGCTACTTCTGTGGTGGGGACACACTTTAGTTCTGAGAAGTGTAGGAGCCACAGCTTCACAAGGCTTGGCCACAAACTGTTGAGGTTACAGTACCCTTTCATACAATGTACAGTCAATTGATCTCTCAGACACATGAGTGTGTTCAAGGAAACAGTAGAAAGGGAGGGTCCTGCTGCCTCCTTAGACGCTTAAAACAGGTCAGTGGGCCAAATGAATGAGATGCCAAATGCTAGATCAGTGAGTGACAGAACCCAGAGCTGAATGAGGGAACCTGGCTCTACAGGCTGTGTTCCTAATGCAGTAGTGCTCCACAAATTCTAGGATACAGTGTAATTTGCTTTTTAACAATAAAGGGAAACACCGGAAGTAAGTCTTTTGTCAACTGATCTGGGAACAATTTGTAGCCCTATGTCAAGGCTCCCATTGTTTGTGCTATTTCATAAAATTTCAGAGTTAAATTTTACAAATCACAGAATGTGAGAAGGAAGGCATCTGGCCTCTTATAGTCAAGAAGTCTCGTTGTAACAGCCAAGGCAAATGATCACCCAGATCCCTCTTGAGCTATGTCCCACAGCTACCAGAGGCTTTGCAGAGCTCACTACCTGGCCCAAGATAGCATTGAGGCGTTCTGATTCACAGTCCACCACCACTAGCCGCTCCTTTTTCTTCTCCAGGTCTTGAAAGAGCATCCGGTATCCCTCCTCTGTGGTTGTCAAAATGTTGACTGCTGTCACCTGCCAGTTCTTCTCAGCAGCTGTGTCCAGGACTTTCTGCAGGACGGACAAACCTGGAAGTCGGGTGAGTAGGACAGAGAAGTGGCAATCAGGATACACAGGCATTTACTAACTGCTTACTAAATGTGCCAATGTGATATCTAAACTGTCAATCAAATTCATGAATGGTCAATACATCTTAGCACCTAATACTTTTGCCTCTCATGCAGTATGCATTCAATCAATGTGTACTGAATTCAACTACTGCCTTCTACTTTGTAGCTAAATGATAGAGGAGCCCATTACTTAATGCTGCTTTGTTTCATCTTTGAGATATAGATGGTGTATTAGTTTCCTACTGCTGCTGTAACAAATTACTACAAATTTAGTGGCTTAAAACAACACAAGTGTTATACTTAAATCATCTTATACTTCTTGAGTTCAGATGTTTGAAATGAATCATCCTGGGTTAAAATCAAGGTGTCAGCAGGGACGCGTTACTTTCTGGAGGTTCTAGGGGAGAAAGTTTTCATGCTTTTCCAGCATCTAGAGGATGTTGGCATTTCTTGGTTTATGTCCCCTTCCGTCTTCAAAATCATCAGTAACTGGTCAAGTCTTTTTCACATCACACTCCGACACTGACTCTTCTGCCTTCAACTTCTACATTTAAGGACTCATGTGATTACATTGGGCCCAGACAAATAATCCAGGATAATCTTTCTATTTTAAAGTCAGTTGATTAACAAACTCAATTCCATTTATAACCTTAATCCCTCTTGCCATTTAATATAATATATTCACAGGTTTCAGAAATTAGGACATGGATATCTTTGGGAGGGAGTTGGGGCCTGCCTCAGATGGCTATTTCACTCTTGCATTATTAATCAACTTTTTGTACATATATGGTTTCTGTCTCCCGGTAATTCAGCTAATCCCTCCATCAGTAACCACCAGGGTGCCTAGCCTCAAGAATCATCTATAGATTATTTTGTTATGGTTTCTTACCTTTGTTTCTTTTTCAGTACAAGTTGTTTCAGTATAGCACTAAAAGTTTACTGTGTTGTCTAGCACTGTTCTACTAGCTTTTCTGTCTCCAGTTCACTTAATCCTGTGAGGTAGTTACCATTATTATCCCTGTTTCACAAATGTAGAAATTGAGGCTCAGAGAGATTTAGTCATTGGCCCAAGATCACACAGCTAGCAAATGGCAGAGCTCGGGGCTCAGAGTTCTGAGGTAGGCAAATGAAACATTTTTAAGAGAGTGGGTGCTTTTGCTGACCCCAAAGATGATCCTCTGTAATCGAAGTTACATTTTTCTGGCTATGCCACTTCTAGGATTTAAGTTTCATTATGTCACAAAAAGATTGGGGAAATAATCCAGAAATGCTTTATGTCTGTGGACTTTATGTCTATGAAACAGCCCTCACGCAGGTGATCCTCACAATGGCTGCTGTCTGAGAGGGAAAATCATCAAACTAAGGAGAGGAAAGAGAAAAATCTAAGAAAATAGAGTGCTTCTGGTCTCTCCTTCTCATCTGAATAATGCCTGCCTAACTCTTCCTTTAAAACCATTTCCCAAGCTACTCTCCTACTCAAAGTCTTCAAAGCCTTCCTACCCCCTAAAAAACCTTCCTTTTGCATATGGAAAACTCCTCTGCCTCAGTTTTCAGACCTTACATGGTCCATTTATTTATTTATATATACCAATAATGACTAAGTTCTTATAGGACTAAGTTCTTAAGTTCTTTAGTGTACACAGGGAAGGTAGGGCAGTATAATACAACTGCCACAGGAGTTAGAGAAAAGGGCAGAGTTCCCATTTAGAAATCAGGGAATAGAGAAAGTAGTGTCTGAGCAGGCCGTAAAAGAGAGGAAGGATTCATATATGTAGATCCGAGAAGGGAAATGCATTCCAGAAAACAGGAACAGCATGAATAAAGATGCAAAGAAGAAAAAAGTATAGAAAATACTTGGGAAATGTGATATAAAATTAAAAATTTACATGGAGGCAGAATTAGAAAGGCCTGGGAGGGTTGATAATATGATGGTGATGATGATGATGATAGCAGCTAACATATAAAGAGGACTTTGAGCATTTATTATGTTTCAGGCACTGACAAACACTTTCTAGTCATGATCTCATTCTCCCCACAGCAACTTTATGAGATAGAGATTATCTTCATTATAGAGAGGAGGAAATTAAAGTATAGAGAATTGAATGCCCATTACATAAATGTTCAAACTGAGGCAGAGAGAGTTTGCCCAAAGTCAAACAGCTGGAGAGGAGAGAACACAGAATTCAATCCAGGTCTGTTTGACTCCAGAGATTATGCTCTTAACAACCATACTCTGAGCCAAGAGCCATTCAACTGAGGTCCTCGGGCTTTGAGTCTGGACTCAGGAACCGTGGATGCTTGGCGAGCTGTAGAGTGACATGGTGCATTAAGAGGATTAGTCTCTTAAAGGATGTGTTTGCACACTATGAGTTAGTGATTAGCCACTGAAAAATCAGTCCATAGACATAAAGCATTTCTGGATTATTTCCCCAATCTTTTCAAGAAGGCAAGGAGGCATCATTTTTCTTCCTCCTGGTAGTTTTCTCTCTGTTTTTCAATGGTCTCCCTTCCCTACTCCCTGGCTTACCCCGGTCAGCATCGTAAATGTAGACAAATTTCTGCCACTTGTAATGGTCGATGATACTAATAAGGGCATCCTGCAACTCGGGGCGCAGCTGAAGGACAAACTGGTTGGATGTGTCAACGGGAAAGCTTGGCGTAATGAAGCAGACGTGGAGGGCCCCGCAGAAGGAGGTCAGCATGTTCACGGTCCTCCGTTCATAAAACCCAAAGATGGCATAGACTCCTTTGGAGAACTGGGAACAGACTGGAAGAGGAGAAGATAAGGGTTAATGGAGAGAAGTTGCTGCAAACAAGCTGTCACATGTCGCCAAAACTAATTCATCCATTATTCAATCCACCCATCCAACCAACAAATCTACCCATCCATCTGTTCAACCCCTCGATCTATCCAATTGTCCATCCATTCTACCCATCTATGCATCCCACTCACCCATTCATCTGTCCAACCCACTCATTTATCTATCTGATCCAATGTTTATTAGGTGCCAATTTCATGCCAGATGCTGTCATGGTTATTAATTATAAAGGTATACAAAATATTTTTAGACATTTTCTCACTTTATCTCTATAACAACCTTGTTGAGGTAGGAAAGTGATGACTGGGTCATCTTTTAAAGGAAAAAAAATCAAGGCTCAGAAACTTAACAAACATGTCCAGTGTAGCACAGCCAGGACATATCTGAATTGGGCAGATATCTTGACCCCAATCTAGTAATCTTTCTATGACACTACCTATCACTTTAAGGCAAAGCATAAAAAAGATGCTACAAAAAGAAAGATGTCCGCCAGCTTGCTGCTGATTCACGTTTATGAAAACAACCCTACCCTTAGGTTTTACTGTACATTTTTTTTTTTTGCTGATATTAATTTTGTGTTTATACATCCTGTTAGGTGAATTTTCAAGCCCCCTGGTGTATCAGCCATAGCAATAGCTTAGGCGTATGAACATTCTCACAGGAACCATTTTTTAAGATCCCATGTAGTTACCAGTCCTGGTATGTGGTTGTCATACTGCTAGTTAGAGTATAATGCTAAAAAGACCAAGGTCATGGGGCCAAACTTCACATCAGTCAACTGTTAAACTTCATTTTTTTTCTTTTTGCAATAGAAGTTGAGTTTATTAAAATAAACAGAATCTTTGTGTTTAATAAGCTCACTAGAAAATAAGAAGAACTCCAAGGGTGAAGCAAACATTATACATTAAAAGACTGTGGAGCTAAATCTAGAGATGAGAGCCATGAGGAAAAAACAAACTTGGAAGGCATGGTTGACCAGTAGACAAATGCCGATATCAGTCCCGAGATCGAGAAAGTTATCCTTGGGTTGTTTGGTAAAGCTGAAGAACTGATTCTGAGATGTCTGTATTAAGTTAGGCTCTTCCCAGGGAACTAATATTACAAATTCATCTTTTTTAACCAAATATATAAGGCTGTTCTGATTTTTTTTCTTTTTTAAAAAATGAAATATAGTGGAGTAACATTGGTTAATAATATTACATATACTTCAGGTGTACAACATTCTAATTTGACATCTGTATACCCTATTGTGTTCTTCCCACCCAAAGTCTAGTTTCCTTCCGTTACTGTATATTTGACCCTCTTTCCCCCTTGCTAACCACCATTCTATTGCTAAATTTTATTTTAATATATGATACAGGATGAGGTTTCACAGCCTTTGCCCTAATCTGGTGACCAGACCCACTGCAATCCCAATTCCATGAAAATTACCCTCCCATTATGGATGGTGATGCAGATAAGTCGTCCTCATCACATTAACGGTATTTTAGAATAATTTTTATCATTTCGCATATATTAAGTTATTTAGTTCTCATTACAAACCCGTGACTTAGGTATTATTGTTTTTTTTTGTTTTGTTTTGTTTTGTTTTTTTTTTTAAGATGAAAAGTTATGCTCTTAGATCATCTTGTCTCTTTACCACATCACCTGCTTCCATGACCCCACCTTGCCTTACATACGGGGTCTCCAATTATGCTACATAAGCATTGCACAAATGAAACTTAGTCCTGCAAGGTGCTCTTTAAAAAAGAACAGGCTTCTTTGGTCGAATATATTTGGGAAAGGGTACGTACACTATCCTCATCTCGGAAGTTCATACTGAGCACTAACTACATAAAAGATTGTGAGGAATCCTCTTCATCTTGCACCCAGATTTTGTCAAATATATTTGTCGCCAGGACCCTTTGTTGGTGAATACTTTTAACTTGCTATTGAAGAAACTTTGGATCATGCTGCACTACAGAATGCAATTAATCACTGATACCCAGTTGCCTGCTGTGACTCTCAGTTCTCAGTCAGTCCCTAGAGATAATAGGCTTGACAATCATCTCTTAAAGATTACAACTGAACTTCAAACCTCACAAGTCATCTGTCCAACTTCCACTGAAACCAGCATACCATCTACAGGTAACCTGGCAGGTGATCATTAATATCTGCTCTCATACTTTTAGTTACTGGGCATTCACTACCTACCAAGGTGCCGAGTCCATGAACTGTCCACTGTTTGAGACCAGAAGTTCATGAAATGCTTGCTCTTAACCCACTCCATAGCCCTCCTGGTATCTGAAGGTAGTCCTCACAGACTCTGGCTTTATGGCATTTTTGTTTTCAGCAGTGAAATCCATTCTCTACCCAGAAGCCAGAGGGATCTTTTAAATTAAACAAAACTCATTGCTTCCCTTCCTTGTCCAAAACCTCTCAGAAGTTTTGAGGTTTCCCATTGCACACAGAAAAAAAACCTCTAAATGTCCAACCATGGCTCAGAGCCTGAATCATGTGCTCCTCTGACCCCTCCTCCCTTACACCACACCTTGCTCCCTGCTCTAGCCACATTGACCTTCACTCTGCTCCCCAGGGCTCTGAGCTCTTTCTGCCCTGGAGACTCTGTAGTGCAATGCTCTTCCCTTATGTCTGCAAGGGTCACTCACTTTCAGCAGTTCTATCTCAGATCTCACCTCCTAGAACAGGGCTTCCTGCATCACTTCTCCTAAAACGTGACTCCACCCTCCCCTCACCCCCTCCTCATACATCTCTAACAAATCATCCTTATTTCTCATGTTTTAATTTTCATTTGAAATCATTTTCCTTACTTGTATATACCTGTGGCTTCTTGGGTCAATGTTAATTCCATAAAAATGGGGGTCTCATTTGTACTCCAAAGCCAGGATAGTGCCTGGGGTGTGGTAGTAGCTTAATAAATATTTCTTGAATGTAAGAATGATGAATGCTTGATGAGAGGGTCACATGACCCACAGCAGGGGATGAGGAGGAGCTGGGTCCAAACAGAGATGAATGTCGGGTCATCCTGGACTTCCTGCTCCTCTAAAGTAGCTGTTTATCCTTCACAACTCATACTCTTTTCTCCTAATAAGGCCGCTATCTGCTCGCAACAGAGAATAGTCACTGTCATTAAATGTCTATTATGATTGCCAGAATCAAGATTTTCATAAATATGGATTTCTCTACCAGGAAGCATATATTGTATATTATTTTCCCCATGTTAACTATAAATTTGTCAAAAAAAAAAAACCACAATCCATCTTACTGGGTGAAATGTATACAGGGAACAGCACATAAACCCTACTAAAATATTATAATATGCTCTCTACGGTATTTTTAGGATCTCTTCTTCTCTCGTTGCAATGAAATATTATCCCATGGGATATAAATCTTATGTTCCAGATCTATTCCCTCATGCCATCTACTTGGTTTCACACCTTTAGTTGGGCCTCTGGGGCCTTCATGGCTGGCATTTTTTGCTAAAAGTTGAGAAGTAGAGGAGGGAAGGATGAGATGGGGTGGAAGAAATAGGAGCGAGTAGATGTGAGCAAATCCTCGGACACATCAGAGGTCAGGATTTTTCCCCCTTAAATTATTTTCCTATTTTTCCCTTTTGCAATTCTCTCTCCCCTTAAACTGAGACTTGAGTGGACGCTGGCCCCCAGAGTTGCTCAGCATCTGACCTTCCACCTGGCTCCTCATTTCAGCTAAGCCTGAGCAGCAACAGAGAGAGAGAAAGAGAGAGAGAGAGAGAGATTGAGATATGTAGAGACTCTGTAGGCCCGAGGTCTGTGGGAGGATGCAGTCATTGGTTAAACATTGGGAAATATAATTAGGAGGTGCAGGGTATTTCTTTGAATCTGTCATAATAGATATTCGATCCGAAGAGACAACACAGTGTTACAAAGTGCTTGATTAGATGCCAGAGAAGACCTGGAGGATTCTCTTTTTGATTTTAACAATAGTTAGTGACCTTGAGCGAACCCCACACTCTCCCTGGGCCTCAGTTTTTCCAGCTGTAAAATGATGGTTTGGACTTCATAATATTTAATGTCTCTTCAGGCTCCCACATTCTAGATTCTAGTGTAATTAATTGAAAAATGTTTACTGATTGACAACACTTTAGTTATTTGCTGGTCAAACTTTGAGCAACCTCCAGTGTACTTTTTCAAACCCAGAAATCAGGTAAAGACTCTGAATCCTTGGATCCAATTGTAACAAAATCCTAGCACTAAATCTAGGTGCATTTAGAGTCTTGAGTTTTATTTAAGATACAATTTTTCACCTGCTGGGTGAGTGAGTTGCCTAATAGAGAGTAGATGAGAGGAGGCAAATCCAAAAGGGGACTAGGGGTAGGGAACTGTACTGTCGGATGCAGCAAGCAGAAGGGGGAGAAATGGGAACTTTCAAAAGCAGCATCAGAACTGCATTGTGTGCTGCTCTCCTCACAGACACTCAACGTTGAATCAGAGCAGGCTGGACTATGTGTGGTGCCTTCCGTTTAAGACAGCAGGGCTGCATATAATGCCTCTGAGAATAACGCTTGAGAGCTGACATTTGAGCATTTACAAAGTTCCAGACACGGTGCTGAGAACATTTCCTTGCATTAACTCCTTTCATCCTCTGAGATAGGTTACAAATTGGAAAAATAAGGCCCAGGACCAGTGCAAGGTGGAGCTAAAACCTGAACTCTACCAGTTTGCCCACAGGGCCTGAACTCTTAACCTCTGTGATATGCCACCCTCCCTCCCCCAACAGTGTTGGAAGGAAGCAGTCTGTGCACATAGGTCAGCTTCGATTTCTAGAATATCCTCTCAGGTAGCACACTGTTTTCCCCTAATGCCAGATAAAGAGGCATTACTGCATTAGGGTCTACTGATATTAAAACAAAACAAAACAGTATGGTGTGCTCGATGTATCCCCTCTGTCCCTGGGAATCATGAAGTGA